GGCACCAAATGTATATACGAAAGCACAAATTGTCAACGAATTTCAGCCTCCGTTTCGTCGTTTCCATCATCAGGACATTTAAATCCTTCTCCTCCACGCCGCCACCCTCAGTCCAAGCAGGACAGACACATTTATCTCATGCGGGCTGCTCCCTTGGAGCGGCGTCGCTGCTCTCGGGTTAGCACATCCGTGGTCGGGTTCAGCGAGTATACCTACCCAAAGGACAGGCTGGTCGGCCTGTCCTTTGGGACGGGCTCAGTCCCGGTGACTCGCTAGGGTGCCTGCCCAGTGCCCACACCAATATCTCCCACTAATTCTTATCATCCTTCAGGCTCTGAAATGGCCCTGTCAGACTAGAAAGGCCTAACCCAAAAAAAAAAAAAAAACGAATTTCAGGAAAACTTAGTTTTTCACTGTTACTGAGGTCCGAATCTAGTAAGCGGTTCTGTGAAAGGCAGTTCTAGTTATATATTGAATTACAATGCAAGATCCACAGCATGACATCACCGATTCACCAGTGTTCTAATACCTAGCTCCATAACGCACACATGGAAATTATCGGGAAGAAAAGACAGAAAAGACATGTTGAAATTAGATGACGTTCGATTTTTTCAGGTTCAGTTTTTGATTAAGTTTAGCGTTATGAGGAAAATCATTGTTAACCCGCGCCCCGTAGTGGGGGGGGGGGGGGGATCACGGCCTTTTCCGTAGATATCTCCCAAACGGATGCAGATATCGTCACCAAACTTTCAGAACCTCTCCGAGCATCAATTTTACACATCGTGACCAATTCATTTTTTTTCCAGAGGCTATGATAGGTTGGCTGCAAATAACGTCAGAATGACGTCATGTTCTGCCATTTTCGACCCAAAAAAGGGTTTCGCGGAAAGAGCTGTCAGCCCTACAGCATTGAAGATACAGACAAATGTTCAAGACATAAAAGGTGTAGAATTAACGTGGCTACAAAACTGCTATCTCGGATTTTTTTATTTTTTTTATTTTGACCCCCTAAAATGAAAGTCATTTTTTGGATATAATAGCCAAAAAATCCAGAAAGTTTTTCGATTTTCGAAAAACCGGAATATATATGATGGTCCATACCGTGTTCTATCTACATACCGAATTTGAGATCAATACCTCTTTTTTTGGCCAAGTTATAGCGAAAAAAAACTGTTCAAAATCGATGACGTCAAATTTTCAAACTCAATTTTTAGCAATTCTAGACCATGTATCGAAAAACAAAGACCACCATTAGACTCCCCGTGACGAGCTGCATCAAATCGATAGGGGAAGTTGGGGGAACGCCGAAGACTTTTTTTTCTGACGCCCGTAGCACGCAAGGTAGACAACATAAGCTATTCTTGTTGGCGTCATTCGAGAGGCCAGTCTTTTGCCTTTCAAACATACCAGGCGCATTTGATGAATTCGCATACCGTTAAGCGCACAAACTAAAAATATCAAAGAAGTGACTTTTTCGGCGTTGCCCCGGACTGCGGGGAAAGCCGAAAATGGGAGAAATGATCTACGGGGAATGCCGACATTGATGTTTTGCCATTTTATCTCAAACTTTATCCAGAATTCATCAAAGCTGACACGCGTTTTAAGAGCTTGAGGACGCGGTGCACACTGGAAGTTATAATTGTGTGATATAATAAGAAAATGCCAGGTAAATCATTCCTTATAGGTAACAGGCCGTTGTGTCGGTTGAAAGTGTAATTTGTGTGACTAAAAATACGCGTTGCTATTCTACAGCAGTAAAGTCCACTAGCGTGCTTTTAACACGTGCGTAATCGCACGTTTTCGGCATTACCCCAGCCAGCCATACTTTCATTTGCAGGCCCATAACTTTTCAACGTGCTGTATAAATTTCAAATAGGCAGCACACTTATGCAAAGACATGCTAAAGATTACTTGACCGAATTGGCCAGACAAACGGTAGCATAATGAGTAAGAAATGCAGCTTCAAAGGCGCATGTAGTACAAGGGAAACGTACCTTGAAAACGCTCTTGGCGCCCTCACAGTCGAAGTATTCCGAATGACGACTCGTAACAAACATGCGATAATTGTAGTCACTTAAGCTTCAGAGCATCACTGACAGGTGGCATCCATGTCTTACGGTTTTCGAAATATCTCGAATTTCGGCTTTGCCCCAACTCCGGCATTGCCCCAACTTCCCCTACCCATTCTATCTAAAAATATCAACTTTGAAATTTGACCTAATTTGACATGACCTTCACCAGAACGTAACCTAAACTGGTCCCAAAGGTCGCCTAACCACATTATCGCATTTGTCATGTAAAATGGACCACAACACATGTATCACACGACACTTTCATATTGTGACCCTCAGTGACCTGACCTGGTATCAGTGATCTGAAATAGCAAAAGATGTGTTTGACAGACAATCCCCCATCGATGATTTTGAATGGTATTCATTTTTACTCGATTTTACCGCACATTTCTTGAAATGCCTCTAAACGGTGAAAATTCGACCTTTGACCTGACCTGTGACGTCATCGGTTAAGCAGAGGTCAATGAAATTAGGTCACAAGGTAGTTACCTGTAGGGGCTATCCAACGCCGTTTGAATTTTGAATATCGGCCGGTAACTTTCCGAGATCTTAGGGGAGGGGGGGGGGGCGACACGCCCGCCCCCCCCTACGAGTGGTAGGGTCCGCCGATAGCCCTACGGGGCGCGGGTTAATACTGCATGAGTCATTTGACCTTATCCTCAATTCTTTAAGTAAACTGTAATGGCAAAAAAATACAATACAAAAGCGATATATTTCGAGCACTATTCTTTCTCAATCGGTTCGCAAGTTAGTATAAGTGCAGAAAACGTCTCACTTCAAAAAAAAAAAAAAAAACATTTCGTCACATTTGCCACTTTCCAGCCCGAAATATCATCTATCGCGTGGCAACTACATAAATTGCCCTCCCATACCAAAGCACACGCTATATTACCCTTCATATCCTACACGTATTAAAGATGAACACCGGTATGAATACCCATATTCATAAGCCTCTATCAAATTCACGTTCAAGTTTCACGTTCACGTATTCACGCTCAAGTTGTCTGTCACCCTACATATTCACCGCCCACTATGAAAGACTTTTGCCACGACACTGTGTTGTAGCTGATTTTTGGGCCTATGCTCACGAATTCGAATGGATTCTGTGATTTTCCTGTCTGCTTCATCCCTACATTCATGATACGAGCTGTTAACCTGGTGTCATCTGGACAGCTTGACGGATGTTTTTGCGCTACATGGTTTTTGCGCTACAATGTCGTGGCAAATTCATTCGTGGGCCGTGGCAAGCTTTAAAAGCTATTAAAAGCTAAAGATATAGAGGATTCTTCATGGCTCCGAGTGGAAGATAAGGATATCTTTTCCAAGCGGGTTGCTGAAAAACCGAGCGACGAAGGAGCGAGGTTTTTTTGTAACACGCGAGGAAAAGATATCCGATCTTCCACGAGTGAGCCATGAGGAATCCTATATCTTTCTACGTTGAGGTTTATTCTTAATTAATAAAATATTATATTTAAATGCATTCATCTATGTAAAAATAGATTCAGAGTAGTTTGTTCTTTTCATAAGTTTCATCCATAAACAATTCATTAAAATGTCGTTCGGTTATTGACCCATCATCACATGAACTCTTGATTTTTCGCTATAAACCCTCGAGACCTTATCTTTGCATCTCAGAGGGATGCAGATATAGCAAATTCTTATCTTTGCATCTCAGAGGAGTGCGAGATAGAAATATCCCTGCACTGTAGACCCAATGGCAAATAAACCTCAACTAGAAAGATTAAAAAAAGCTTATCATGGATTCACTATATACTGAAGGCACGGCAAAGCGGTTACCGTAAGGTGGGGCTATTTGGGACAGTGGGGATATTTGAGACAGTATGCAGTGAAATCGGTATAAAATGAACACAGTTTGATTTTTTTTTCTCATTTTTGCTGAGGTTGCCGTGGAACCGAACGGTGAATTACTTGAGCAAAAACGACAAAGGAATCTCAAACGGTTTCCACTTAATAGCGATTTTACTATTATAGACCACTACATACTGTCTCGAATAGCCCCACCTTACGTAACGGTACTGTTGAACTTAAGCGAACTAATGTTCGGTGTAAAAATATTCCCATTTCCCACACTGCAATCTAGTTTTCATTGGAAAGATTCGGAAGCGTTTCGGCTTCCTTCGTCGGTGTAAAGAGCCGCAATGTAGTAGAATAATCGCAAAACTGACTGTTAGACGAATTTCATCTTTCCTTGGTTGACAAAGGAAAATTAAACGTTCCGATAACTATGTAGAAGCAACAAAAATCTAGGGAATGTGGAGTGTGAACATTCAATAAAACATCAAACATTAGCCGCGCACTCTGCAATCTGCATAGCATTAAGGTACCCAGTGCAGATGTGTGAACACTGAACAATGCAGTGCACAAAACGAACGGCGGCGTATTGGCAGCCGCTACTCCGCCAATAATGGACATTTGCTCGTGCCCGCCGGAGCTGTTAACAGGATCGAAATCTGCCTCTCAAGATCGGTCTACCTTCCATAAATGCACCTCGCACAATAACGAATTCCATCTGAAATGCGCAGGCCGCGGTAAGATCGGTCCCAATAATAACGAATCGATACAGGCAGATCTCCCGAGGTATGGTAAGCTGACCACAGAGTCATCCAGAACCAGAGCCGCTGGCAGCGAGCAACAGGATCAGCGCGACACACACGGCAGTTCAGCTGTAAAACACGCCGTATCGGACAGCGAATCGCCACGGACAGTTCTCGGCAGCAGGGACGCGGAAACACGCGAAAAACTACTCACAATGAACTAACGGGGCACAGAGCAGTGGGCATGCATGCACAATTATGACGTGACGGTGATGCGACTTTTTCGGGAGCCCACACGACCAGCTAATAACAAAGAGCGTGCCCGTCGCCGCGTGACTGGGTGGGCGCCGACTGAGCTCTGCAGCACACCTACCTTGGTCAGCTTCTCCACGCGGCGCAGGAATCGGCCGTCCGACTCGCCGGGCCCCTGCTCGAACAGCGGGATCGGCTTCAGCGGCCGCGTCATGCCCCTCTCGGCCGCCTCCGGGCGCACAAAGTCCCGCGACGAGACGCGGCTGAAACACGCGGCACCGCTGTTACAGCGAGTCGGCAGTAGTCAGTGATGGGGCCAGTTGATAGCTGATTCCCTACAGACCCCGCCACCATCCCGGTAGGTCACCCCAGGAGTCAGCGGTCGACGCCGCGGATCGGGCGCCGCACCCACCTCGGCTCCACCTACCCGTTACTCAAATGTTTCCTTTTCCGGGGCCGGCTGGTGACCTTTTCTCCATTGGCGATGCGGTCCACCAGGCTCATCATGGACTGCACCTTCTTCGGTACAAACTCATCATCCGGGTCCGCTGGCTTCTTGTTGAAAATCTGCCCCCGCTCTCTGAAACACGAGAGCAGACAATGGATGAGTGATGATGGCCCTGTCACCCATCCAAGGCGTGACCGGGCAGCGAGCTGTGGCCTTTCCCGTTTGGAGAGCGGATGTCCGCCGTTGTCCGCGAGAGGAGCCTGGCGGTGGGCTGGGCAGTGTCCCGTGGGAGCGTCCGGGGGGCCCGGCCGGCTGGCGTGGCACGCGGACCGCGACGGAATGGACGACACCGCCACCTACCGCACGGTGGGAACCGACCGCCACGCCACCCTCCGATCGGCACGGCAAACGGCGTAGCTGACCGGCCCGTCACAGTATATATGTTACAGTTAGTATGCGAAATCCGTTAGTTTGTAACGCAACTAGTTTCGTTGCAAACTACCTGACCGGCCAGGTAGTTTGCAACGAAACTAGTTCCGTTGCAAACTAACTGACCGTCCAGTTAGTTTGCAAACTAACTAGTTAGGATGCAAACTACCTAGGTACGTTGTAAACTACCTAGTTACTTTGCAACGGAACTAGGTGTGTTGCAACGAAACTAGTTGTAATGCGAAATCGACGAGGCAGTGGCTCTATATGTCGGTTATATTCAACTTTTATGTAAATTTTAACAACACAAAGCTGTGTTTTTCTAACGGGTGACACTAGACATAAGACGGGTGATCACATTTAGGACAGAAACAGTGAATTAACCGGATTCGACTACATAACGTTACGATCACTAGCGGATCCAGAGTGGGGGGGACGCCCGAAATCGCTCCGCCATCCTCGCAGCGCCCGAAAGTGACAAATATTTACTTATGAGAATGAAACGAAAACTGAACAACTTTTATAATCAAATACTTGTTTTCACTGGCGGATCCAGAGGAGGGACAGTTCCGGGGGGCATTTTGGTATTTTGATTTTTTTTTGCGACACACACTTACACCAGTCACCACCGCCGCTGCACAGAACAGAACTGAACTGTATTGTCCCTTGTCCCGTGGTCCGGGGTAAGCGTGCAATCAAGAATCTGTCTCACCGGCCGACTCCTACCACGCGACTTGCCTAGCCAGGTGACCTAGCGGTGCCGGGTCATTCGGTAACAGCCAATGATCAAAGGGCAGGTTGCGTGACAGACTGATCGTTTGTGGAGGTAGGAGCTCGCGGCGGCGCGGTTCTGGAATATTCCGAAATCGGCAGCAGAACCTTTACTTTCCGCTTATGTCTTCGCATTTATGGTGATCACTAGCGGTTCCAGAAAGATGGCCTTAACCCGCGCGGGACTGGGGTCTCCAGCCGAACGCGCGGGGCTGGGGGTGGGCAAATTTCCCCCCCCCCCCCTGTTATCTCCCGAACTAATGGTTCGATTTGGAAAATTCAAACGCCAATCGAAAGATCTCATCACGAACAACTTAAAACATGCACTTAATTTAAAGTTTGAGCCTTGAGGTCAAGGTCAAGGTCAGGTCAAGGGTACAAATTGCAAGTTTCTACAGTATCGGCCTTGCACCGTAGTTGCCGAAGAATGGACTGAGACTGATTGCCCAAAACGTGTTCTTAGGCTACCAAGACAACATTCGCAGCATAAAATATCATTCAGAGGTCAAGGTCAAGGTCAGGTCAGGTCAGATCAGGTCACCAAAAACAAAATATAGAAAAGGGCATGTGCGACACATGTTTTATGGGTCATTTTATTCATAGAATTCAATAGGCACACTCAATAGGTGATATGGACCACATATGGATGAATTTCAGGTCGAGGTCAGGTCAAGGTCAGGTCAAGTGAGGTCAAATTTTGAAGTTGGTTATTAAGGCCTAAAAAGGTGTCTATCTGATGTAGTTTCTCACGGCGAATCGAATGGTGCTATTTTTGTTTCCGTACGAGGTCTAGAACTTCCAAAAAATTCATTTTTCAAAATTTTTGTGTGTCGTGACGTCATGAAATTTTTAATAACTCCCACATTTTTTAACCGATTCTTCTAAAAATTGGTATGTAGGTGCAAATAGACCACATCTCTGACATAAATTCCGTTTTTTTTCGATACACTCAAAATTTTAGATTTTATAATTATTTTCCCAAAAAAGTCAGTTTTTGGAGAAAAAAAATTGGCCAAAATCCAATATTTTCCAAACACCGAGATAACCATTCGATAGACAAAGTAGAATTACGTATAGCCTTTTTTGTTACGTCTTGATTCCTTTAAAAATGAAGATGTTAGCGGCGTTGGAAATTTTGCCGTTTTTTAGGCGAAAATGGCGAACATGACGTCATTAAAACGTCAATTTCTCAAAAATTCTCCGACAGATTTTGCTCAAATTTTCAGGGAACGTGTCAAATTGATGTAAGAAAGGGTACTGAAAGTTTGGCGACGTTGCACGACGCCGTTTTTGAGTTATTGCAAAAATTCGCGAGGGTGGGTAAAATTTACCCCCCAGCCCCGCGCGGGTTTAACGTTGCGGGAGACATAATCCCAAAAAGTGTCTCCTTATTCCAAAAACCTTTCGGATTTTGATTCCAATAGTCTAAAACAAGTATTTGATTATAAAAGTTGTTCAGTTTTCGTTTCATTCTCATAAGTAAATATTTGTCACTTTCGGGCGCTGCGTGGATGGCGGAGCGATTTCGGGCGTTCCCCCCCCCCCCACTCTGGATCCGCTAGTGATCGTAACGTTACGTAGTCGAATCCGATTAATTCACTGTTTCTGTCCTAAATGTGACCACCCGTCTTATGTCTAGTGTCACCCGTTAGAAAAACACAGCTTTGTTTTAACAACCGTTGTTAAAATTTACATAAAAGTTGAATATAACCGACAAATAGAGCCACTGCCTCGTCGATTTCGCATTACAACTAGTTCCGTTGCAACACATCTAGTTCCGTTGCAAAGTAACTAGGTAGTTTGCAACGTACCTAGGTAGTTTGCATCCTAACTAGTTAGTTTGCATCCTAACTAGTTAGTTTGCAAACTAACTGGACGGTCAGTTAGTTTGCAACGGAACTAGTTTCGTTGCAAACTACCTGGCCGGTCAGGTAGTTTGCAACGAAACTAGTTGCGTTACAAACTAACGGATTTCGCATACTAACTGTAACATATACATACGCATGGCAGGGTGGCGCTAGTGAGCCAGAGCCGCCGAGGGCGGTCAAGTTTGAGGGCCGCTGGATCGCCTGACCCTTGGGGCGGGGCGGGGCGGGAAGGGGAGGGGAGGGAGGGACGGACGAGCAGGCGGGCGGGCGGAGGGAGGGAGGCAGGAGAGGCACTTAAGTAATAACCCTTACGGAGGCGTCGCGTCAAACTATGGTGACCGCACGCAGTTTCACCAGGTATCACAAGTGACCTCTGAGTGGTGTTTCGCTGGACGCTGCTACCACGCTGCTATCGCATTTCGCGAGCTGACGTCACACTTGTGGTAGGTAGTGTTGGAGCAATAGGCTTGTTGATGTCTGCATGGAAGCCCAATCTGACACGTGTGATAGCAGCGTGCTGCCATCATCGGTGAAACACCACCCTGGTTTCACGGGCAGTTGAGTGGATGAAGATAAGAGAAGTTATGCGAGTCCAGGTCGATATCACCATGATGCCACCTAGTAAACTATTCTATTTTTCTTCCTATAGGAAAATATTGGTAGTCGTAAAGCAGGCGTCACGCTTTCGCTTTTGCAACCAAGGAGAGGCCTTCCCGAAGATGTAGGTTGTACGGCCCTCCAGCTAAAGAGTGGTTGGTTAGCCTATGTGCTTTTGGCATAATAGCTTTAAATGACAGAGACACTCCTGTAAAATGACTCAATAGAAATGAGAAGAGGGTTTGTGCACACATTTCGGCAGTGGTTTTCAACAGCCATTAGACGTATTCATCAATGCAGATCGATTATTGTGATGTTGGCAAGTGGCAACCAACCACTAAATACCTGGAGGGCCGTACATAGGTCCTCTAACGATGTGCCGAATCTGAGCACAATCGGCCTAGCCGTTCTCGAAATCTGGAAGCGGCACCCTGCACGTGCGCACGTGCAAAATGGGTCCCAACCGACTTTTGTACGGCACCATACTAACCGATCCCTAACCAATTGTACCAAATTTCAGCGCAATCGGTTCAGCCGTTCTCGAGATCTGGAATATACCACTGCACATGCGTACGTGCAGCAGCACCCCAACTGTGGCACATGGCCTAATGAGTGCCTACCTACATTCAGCGCAATCGGCCCAGTAGTTACCGAGATATTGCGGTTGTTACAAAACTGACACCTCTTCGTTTTGCACGTAGCACATGCATAAGGAGTCAACCACATGCATCGGGAATAGTCCAATACTTGGTAGAAGGAATGAAGCTACCCTACAAAAATTCCCGCATGTAAATCGGTCAAGTGGTTGCTGAGATATAAGCCTCGCAAAAGCGTCCGCACGGCACGGCCGGCCGGCCGGCCGCTCATACTCAGAACTTTCCGTTAATCTACCAAAGACTCCGCTCGCTTGGCTGGCTCCGTAATAACCCACGATGACTCTTTAGTGCCCTGCCCACGATATTGGTTGATTAACGGCGTAAATGGACATTGTTAGTTGTGTAAAATTGATGTCCGGAGAGGTACTGAAAGTTACAAGTCGAAATTCGCAGCTGTTTCTGAGTTTTCTGCGAAAAGCCACAGGGGGCCCTTTGGGCCCTCCCCCCCCCCACAACGGGTCGTGGGTTAATCTACGAAAGACTACGCTCGCTTCGCTCGCTCCGTAATAATAAACATTGAAAATATAGCAAATATCAAGCCACTAGCCAGTGGCGGATCCAGGGGGGGAGGCGGTCACATGGGTCATGACCCCCTTGGGGCCCGGGGCACCACAGGCCTGCCAGGGGCACCACTGGCCTAGCAGGGGCACCACAGGCTTGTCAGGGCCCAAAGGCACCACAGTCCTTCCAGGGGCACCATAGGCCTGTCAGGGGAACCACCGGCCTCGCAGGGAAAACACCGGCCTCGCAGGGGCACATTGGGCCTGTCAGGGGCACTTCAGGCTTGTCAGAGGCACCACAAAGAGTTGTCAGGGCCGAGGGGCACCACTGGCCTAGCAGGAGCACCACAGGCCTGTCAGGGGTACCACAGGCCTGCCAGGGAAACCACCGGCCTCGCAGGGAAAACACCGGCCTCGCAGGGGCACCTGCAGCCTAGCAGGAACACCACAGGCCTGCCAGGGCCTCGGAGCCCCACAGGTCTAGAAATGATACCACAGCCCTAGAAAGGACACTACAGGCCTGTCAGGGGCACCATGGGCCTGTCAAGGGCTATGGGGACCTTAGACCTGTCAAGGGACAGGGAAACCCCAGTCCTTCCAGGGGCACCACAGGCCTGTCAGGGGCACCAGTGGCATAGCAGGGCACCAGCCACCACAAGCCATGAGAGGCACCACAGGTCTGTCAGAGGCACAACTGGCCTAGCTGGGCCACTGGGGCACTACAGGTCTGCCAGGGGCATGGTACCACAAGCCCAGCCTGGGAACCATACCTAAGCCTGCCAGACCCAGGGGCTGTAAATGCCTAGCAGGACTGACCACAGGCATTTATGCTTGTCTCTTTTCATGATTTGTTGACAAAAAACTAGACATAGCATATTCACATATTGATGTACCTACTTGCTTAAAATTGGGACGCCGGTGAAAACAGGGCGCCGGAGGGCAAATTAGTCACGTGACATTTTGAGCTTCTCCCCCTTTGTGGGCTTTCCACATGCTAAATGTCACGTGTGAATTTCACGAACCTTGATCAAATCGCCCCAGGCGCCCTGTTTTCACCGTCATCCTAAAATTGGCACGTTTGGTTGTGGCTAAGACACTGACCAAAAAATAGAAAACATAAAAAAGGGCACCACCAAAGTTACATGAGCATTTGTTCTGTTGTTGTTGCTTGTTGCAAAAATCTGGGTATTCTCTTAGCAGACGTCACCCGAGCTGCCATATCCAGTTAGGTAGGTTGGTAGGTTAGGTTGTAGGTTGGTAGGTTAGGTTGTAGGTTGTAGGTAAGGTTAGGTCAGGTTAGATGCACGTGAGATGTGGATATGGCAGCTTGGGTGACATCTGCTAAGAGAGTACCTATTTCCTGGATCCGCCCCTGTATCAAACAATAGAAAGCTAGGCTGAGGCACCAACCTTTCTCTCCTAATCGCATAAGGATCCTTGATCTTGTTTGCCTTCTTTCCATGATTGCGTTTTGCCATTTCTATAGTAAAACATCAAAAACACATTCAATATCTGAATTCCTTCACACTCCAGTCAGACCCATAAGCTAACTAAGCCATGGATGTCAACAACCCAAAAGCATGATTAACTTCCACCGTCGGTAAACATGTGGACCCACTCTAACTCGAGGCCCATAGACCCAGACTGAGACCCGCTGAGACCCACTTATGCACCCCATACACCCACATGAACCCGCATCACACGCACACGCGGCCACACGCGGCACGCGTATTTACAAATTGCAACCGAGCTCCGCCGTAGGGTATTTTATTTCCGCCGTAGTGTATTTCACTTGGGGGATTTTCTACCATACATCTGCCTGAGCTTAGGGTAATTACAATTTGTCGGCGACGTTAAAAAATGATGCACTTTTTTCGCAGTATAGGATATCGCATGTGCATATTTCTGCCTTTTTGGGTGCGCTTTATGATTTATCGGTTTTTCGTGAGTAACTCGCGTAAAAACCGTCCGATCGCGACGAAACTTTCAATGCCCCCGATTTTATCAATTTTACACCTACCCTGAAAATTTCATGACCTGACCCAAATAACCTTTGACCTGTGACCTATTTCTCGAGACCATGTTTGGCCCGAATCGCGATTCGGCGTATGTCGGCTCGCATTAGCCGCGCGGTTGCAGTCTTCACGTGGTTTCAACCGTTGAAACATGTGATATGATGCTGGTCCCATGCATTAGGGTGGGTGTCAACTGTCAAGGTCACCTGAAGGTCAGGTCAGCTCAATGACCTTTGATGACCTCGGTTCATTTTTCGAGTTTTACATGTTTCTAGGCTAGTTTTTGGAGCTGATTTCGAATTTAGCAACCATTTGAACATGTGATTTAAGTTGGTCCCTTTGTATAGCCTACATTGCATCCTGATTATTTATCTGTTGTCTAGGGGATTATATTCTTCAATCTTTTACTCTATGTGCTGTCTAGGGGTATTACTGATGAAAACGCGATCGATATGTGTGTGTTTCTGGTTCCTTTCCCTCCTTCGTTCCCAACACCATCCACCATACAGACGTGAACATGAGTTAAAAGTAGATATATTGAAATGAGCCAAAAGATGAGGTCGAAACCAAAATGTCAAAAGGAAGCGATCGAGTCATTAAACGAGACAAGGCCGAAAATCAGTCCTGCACGAATAGCCGTTGCATTAGCACAGGCTGATATCGAAGAAGACGGAAGAGTGTTGAAAGAAGACCGAAAATCAGTCCCACTCGAGTTGCTATCGCACTCGAGTGTGCCGATATTGGAGAGGCCGGAAGAGTGCCGAAAGAACAGCCTGCTGCCGCCAAGCCGAGCCAATCGGCTCCCTGGTCAGCGTCATGATGGCGGGCAGGCTGAAACACAAACAGCGCAGTGAGACCGGACAACGGCGGTCAACGGTCACCAAACAAAAAGCCGAAAGAGATAACCGAATGGTTAGCCGAAAGACAAAACAAACAGTTCAACCATATACCGAATAGTTCGGCAAGTTAAACGGACTTCCTAGAAGACGTCACGTCACCTTGTCCCCACAGCACAGCTCCAAGAGAGCTAGCTGGGGCAGACCGTCCGGTCTGAGTCATTCTTACGTAGGTACTTACTTGTGCATGTTGAGTGGAGTGTTGCAGAGTGGGTGTTGTCGAACGTGGTGTGGACTGTGTGAGGAGTGTCTCGCTGCTGCGTCTGGCGCCCGTTTTATACCTCTCCGACAGTCGTTTGCCCTTGGTGTGTCGTCAACCCATTTTTCACGATCTAACCCTCGCCGAGTGTTTTTGCTGTGGGCGAACGGTGGAGGTCAGCGAGATAGGAGCCGAGCGAGCCGCCGCCGGTTGGTCGGCCTTGGCCTCCGGGCCGACTGACGGGGCGCTTCCCGTCGCTGGAAATAATGAGTGTCGCCGATTAGCCGCTCAGAGCAGATGGAAACGATATTTCTCACATCCCTCCCATTTTTATGGCGAACGAAGAACTGTAACCTTAGGGGGTGAACGGGTATACGTACGTAATAATAGACTTACAGTCTGACTGGGTCAAACCGAGTTTGATTTGTAGACAATGGCAAATGCGGCGTCTTAAACTGTTTTAACTGTTTTGTGCCTTTCGACAAATATGACAATAGTGCAAAATACATGATCACTTAATAGCTTGATAGTTAGAGCACACGACTTTAGCTTCAGCTTTAGCATTGTTGCACCATGGTAGTGCTGCTGGATACAAAATCTTGGAAAAAGGCAATCACTGCACCTTTACATTTATATTATCCTGGGAACCACATCTCCTTGCTACTGACCTGTGGACTGTTTCTGGGATGGGAATTTCGTGGTTTACCGGAAACGATTTACAAAGGAGCATGTCGTCAGTCGTGCAATGTAAAGGGTACGCTTGTTAACGATTCCCAATACGGGCTTCGACTTTAAAAAAACTCACGAGTGATAACGTGATGGGTCCATCCGTCTGCTTTATGGCCGCCACACCTGGAGGAGATAAGTTACAACCGACGGGCGAGTGATCGTTTGCCTCCGTTAGAACAGAAGGATGCGTTTCCGACTTCTGGCAGCACTCAGCATCGCGGTGTTGGTCCTAAGGGCTCGGGTGAGGTGTTGAGGCTGAAGTCAATCTGACATGCCGAGAGATTGGTGGTGCTTGTAGACCTTTTGGTATCTCAGATACCTGTGTAGGACGCACTCTGCTGCTGGCTCCAATGACCTGAGGACATTGGGAGGGACCAGACGATGCGAGCATCGCAGCACACGAGCAGTTTGTCCTATTGTCTATGCCGGTTCTATGCCCGCGCATCTTTTGGTCTGCACAGATCCATGTCGCTGGATCTAGTTTCAAGGCAATGCACAAGATTGTTGCTTCACCACAACTTATACCTCGAGCACCAACTGACCCTTATCACGACCTTCATGCATACGCTGAAGCAGATTGTAGCAAACTCGTCTGCTTGACTTTAACAAGTGAGCACATGCCCGTTGGCTTTGATCTTTTGATCTCAAGGGTTGTTCTTACTTTTGTTCGTGACCCGACATCACCGTCGCTGGTCACTCACGAGACGGTGGCGCTCCATGCAGGGTTGGATAAATCCATCAGGACCTCCACTCGGCAGCGCGGTGTCTGTTGCAGACAATACAACGAAAGTCAACCACAGTAACTGGTACACCTTCCATTCAATATGACGTTGGCTCTTCGTTCAGCTTTGGGATTGCCAAATGATTCACATGAGTGCTGAACGAGTTCACATAGGATTGCAGGTTCTAACTGCATAGGCTTTCGGATTCATATTTAAATCGTTCCACAGGAAAAGGTGTGATCAGTTTGCACAGTTGATGCTACTCCAGAATCTTGCTATAAACATTAACCTAAGTGTTACTCGAAAGTCGAGACAACGAAATCAATCCAATATTTCGTTAATTTTGCATTGTCCCTTACCGTTGCGGTTCTGCTCGGTTTAGCTTTACCGGCAAGACCTTCCCTCGGGACGTTTCGTGCCTCGTACCTGCGCTGAAATCGAAACCTTTCGGCTTCAGTCAGCTCACTTGGTAACTGCTGACGGCCGAATTACTATTTTTCTTTGCCTTGTTATATCAACTGCAAGACCCACGCAGTAATTCACGATGAAGCAGGACATCAAGCATTTATGTCTATCTTCCTACTCTGGAGATGAGCCACGGGATGGACTCCTGAAGAGTTTTGCACTTGCTGTGACTTGCAAAGTGCAGCTAAGCAAGGATTCGAGTCGTACTACCTCCTGCCATGGAATGGAGATAAAACGAGACGAAAACCACTTTCCGTCTTAAACACTATCTTTCCCTCTGCAGTCACCTGAAGTGTACTCACATATCAGCCGTTTGTCGGGTTTGCTGTTTCTGCAACATCTGTGCAACGAAGCACAGCAAACGAGTCACCTTTCTTATCGACGCTGCAGTCAACTTCTGAAACAAGTAAACTGTCGATCGGTTTGCTGCTTCTGCAACACCTGTGCAAATGAAGCAAAGCAACCGAGTCATCATCCTAAGACACCTTTCCTATCGATGTCATCTTCTGAAACAATAAAGCTACTGGTCAGGTTTGCTGTACCTGCAGCACCTGTGCAACAAAGTCGAGCAATCGAGTCGTCATCACCCAATAAGACACCTTTCCTATCGACGTCACCTTCTGAAACATATAAGCTGTTTGTCGGGTTTGCTGCTGGCCTCTCTCTTGTAGTCGCCGGAGTGTTCGACTCTTTATACTCCGGTAGCAGTGTATTTGCGGTGGGGTTTGCCGCCTTACACGCTCAAATGGTTCCGTTTTTCACATACTAGGAACACCTCCTCAGCATGGATTGTCGCTTGTGCCAGTGACCTGCTGCTCCCGTCACTGCACGCCCAGCCCTTATGCCTAGAGCGTAAGCTGACCGAGAATTCCACCCATACCCGGCCGGTGTATGTTCGGTGGGCATGGACCCCCAGAGGACCACCCTCTGCCATGCTACTCACTCTGGTAGATAGGTGGGGCAGGCCCTATCACCAGTTCTCCTCAGCTCCTACGCGTCCGGGCAGCGACTGCCGTCCTGCTCCACGCGAGCAGACGGTCCGGTGACGTCCTCCTCCAAGAGACGTCTGTAGGCTGCACGTCCTACCTAGCACTCGCCCTTCTCTCAGGGACGTAGGCAGACGGCACGACCTACTCAATATTAACGGAAACCACATTTCTGGCCCAGCACATCACCCGCCAAATAACAAATGCGTTTACCATTCTGTCAATACTTCCCAACTGGACGGGAGTATCACCAATGTTGACTGGGATTATCTTCACAAATCACAACCCTCAACTGACTGATGAGATGACTGTCTGTTTGAACCGAAGCAAAGTTAAAAGTATATTGCCATCCAATGTTAACCCGCGACCGCCTGGGTACGGAAATAGCCCAGGCGGTGCCGGGTTAACCAATAATGACTAATTAATACGAAATTTACCTATCAACTAGGGCAAAGTGTCTAACACAGAGAGAATTACTTCACCCGAATTCGACTTGCCGGAAACCTGCCACGCTCTGAAATGTTGAAATTCCTGTGTAAGAACTGATTAGATGTAAACGACGTTGTACTCTCACAAATAAATGACATCTCAAACTGTGAAACATTGAACCGATCTTATTCCACTGAACCTTGTCAACAACTCAGCCATGAAACAACTCCATGAAACAACAATTAAAACCCAAACAACAAGTAAAACCACAAAAGAATAACTAATCATGTCAGCGAG